TGATAATAATCATCCTCATGCTATGGTAGGGGTAAGTCAAAGGGTAAATAAATGATAAATATAAGGTAATAGTGGTATTCCAGAGATAGAATTAGAGACTCATCTAATGTAGTATAGCTAAGCAGGAGATTCGCTAAGAGCAAAAGATTCCTAAGTCATTACTTATCTACTAAGTCTTTTGTACACTCTCATCTATAGTATAACTAACTTTGGATCTATGCATAAGGAACATTACTAAGGAAGATCAAGAACAGAGCTTGTCTACCCTCGCAATCACGTTCTACGTGCTCTACAAACGGGGAGTGGACTACAAAGGACTCAACGGAAGTGTCACATCACGATCTACCACATGACCCAAAGTGTAGAGGGCATCCATAGGCAAACAATATCTAAGCACCATGCCTGCATAGTGTCTACCACTTAACTCACGCGCACAATGAGCTAAGCTTTTGCGAACATGTGCATAAACTCATCATTAATCATAACTATATCAAGCATACAACTAGAGCAAACTAGGAACATAATAAATAGCAACATAATGATATTAAAGTAGCATAAAGTAATAAATATAGAGATACAACGGATATACCAGTCTCCAGATGGCAGATCCAGAATCCTGAGCAATAGCCCACACTCTTCTTGAACCTTGCTAGCTAATCTATACTAGAACTTTGAAGAACTAGAGCTCTAATCTCTAATCTCTAGAAACCCTAGTTTCTGTCTAACCCTAACTACTGATCTGATGACTTGATGCAGATGCCCTGGGGGGAGGGGGTCTGGGTTATATAGCCCTGAGGGTGCAACGTGAGCCCTTAGATCAAACCGACTTAAGCAACGGCCTAGATGCGTCCTCAAAGGCAGTGGGAAACCGACCCTCAAAGATGGCTGACAGGGGGACCCATGGGGTCCAGCAGACCTATAGGTGGGGCCGGCATCTCGCCCTCTGCTTCGGTGGCGTGGCTTTTGGATCCTTCTAGAGCCTTCCCACGTTGGTGCCACGGTGGAAATCTGTATTTTCCTTTGACGTTTAGGTCCTCCTTGGCGGTTTTCAGATTAAAGCCTATTGGAAACACAGATTCACTAAAACTTATAGAATTTGTCATTTTAAACCCCTAGGTCTATGTTTGTGATTCATTTATACCTTTTTTGCATGTTTAATTGATGGCTAAATGTGTATGATAACTACCGTCAACACCGCCCTCACGGCCGAATCCCTCGGCAACGACGCCGGGTGATCCGTGGGGATGAGGTCTCTCGGCTGGTCCCGCCCCTCTCAAAGTTAGTCTCACGGGGTTAGGAAATCAATTGAAAGAGAGGCAGGAGAAAGGGAAACTCATGAAGATAACGTAGCCTAGCTTCGGCCTCATCGAGGGATGCCCCAGCACTGGGTAGACGAAGTCAAGGGTGGCACCCACGTCGTCCCACAGAGGCTCCATCACCTCCTTGATGCGTTGTGCGATCTCAGAGTCGGGGAGCGTTCCCTCGGTGAGCGTTGTTCCGTCGAACAACTCCTCGGGCGTCATCGCGTATAGCGGGAGCGCGCGCGTCATCAATGGCGCCACCCTCCTCACGTGGTAAGCCCCGATGACGCCTGACCCTTTCAGGCCATTCTCCTTCAGGATGTGGATGGCGACGATGTGGTCTCGGATCCTCTTCTTATCCTTCTCCAAGATGCCCCACTTCCTCTATGGCGTCCGGTGAACTCCGACAGAGGGGGACAACGTCGTTCTTGAGGTAGAACCACTGCGAGTGCCACCCCTTGTTGGACATCGAGAGCCACATGGACGGGTACTCACCAACCCAATTGTTCCAAAGTTGGATGCCAACGCACCCCATCGGCATATGCAGCTCCTGCTTGCCGCCCTTCTCCCTCTTCTTCTAGAGGTTAATGGCAAAGAAGTACCTCCACAAGTCGAAGTGAGCATAGATCCCTAGGAATCCTTCACACAGCATGACGAATGCCGCCATGTGCTGGATCCCGTTGGGATTCCAATGCTGCAACTCAATCTTGTAGAAGTGCAGTAACCCTCGGAGGAATTTGTGGGCAGGGGTCGTGAGCCCGTGCTCGTGGAAGTGTGCGAACGACATGACATAGCCGTCTCAGCGGTGACGATGAATACTTGTTGACGGGCAGCAACCACTCCTCGGCCGTGGTCCGTGCGCAGAGAAGACTGCGACGGACGAGGATCTCTATGCGCTGGAAGGTGATGTCAAAGTGGCACCATGGATCCATTGAAGGTGGGGGCGGATGGACGAGCTTGATGGCGGCAAGGATACGGAGGCAGGAAACCCTAGCGTAGGCAACAACGGTAGAGCTACGGAGGTAAGGATGCAGGAACACGTGCAAAACACGAAGGGCTAACCCTTTGGTTTTATAGGAACGACGGGTGCGAGGAAACCAACCACCCGCCTAGATCTCCGCGCCCACCGCGCCCTGCCCCCATGTATCATCACAGGGCGTGCGCACGTGATGTCTGGCTGTCCCCTCAAAAAATGCGCCGGACATTTTGCCTCCCCGAACGGGCCGCGACCTGTCGCGGGTAAGAGGGATACGGAGCTAAAAATGTTCCTATGGCCCATATAGGCCTAAGAGTTTGAAGGTTGGCCCACTGACAGGTTCGACAACCGCTCTAGGGCACCTTAGAGTGAGGGGTGGAATCAGATGGGCCCGCTAGTGGCCAGTACCTAGGCACACGAGCGCCATGGGCATCCCGGTCCACGTCCGAGTCTCGGCCAGATACAATCCATGGTTTTTCTTTGAAGAAAGGCAGAGAGCCCTCGGGACTGGTCGAACGGACCCGAGAACTATATGGATTGACCGCTGGGAATCTAGAGTCAGTCACCAGCTGACCCAAGCCGGATCCCCGTGAACAGGATGCCGGGACCCCACTCGGACTAGCCCATTAGCAACTCACCAAGCACCATGGTTCGTTCATAGAGAAAAATCATGGCACGGCTCAGCCCCTCCGTTTTTATCGGAAAAAACGATTGAGGGAAGATGATCACAAAGATGAGCCGACCCTCGACTGGACCCCTACTACGTGCGGGGGCTCGAGGAAAGTTGGACTCACAAAGAGAACGAATGCGCAGTCACGATCGATCAGGTCCTTGTGGGGTTGGAATTGGGAGGGATCTCCCCCGAACTCTGAATCTCACGGTCGTATGCCCAAGGAGACTGATCGTGACGAAACAGAGATCACCGCCCTACCAGAACACGCTGTGGACTACGAAAGAAGGCAAAGGCCCTCAGAGTCCTCCCGCCCGAAAAAGCCTCCAAAGGAGTACTCTACTCCTCCGTAGGCTCGGGGGCTACACCCACCGGGTGCGCTCACGCGCACCCACTGGTAAGTCGAAAAATCTCCCAGACGATTCTACCCAAATCGCCTGGGGGCTCGGGGGCTACTGTTGGGGACCAATACTAGGGTACTGAGGAGGAGCTGTCAGTCATCAGCACTGATTCACCCGAGCAATCAAGTGCGCGACTACGACTCCTACCGACCCCTAGGCATGCGGGCTCCGCCTCGCTCGACCACTGAAGGGCGGGCCTCGCCTCTGCCGACCCCTGGGGCGCGGGCCTCGCCTCGACCGACCGCTGAGGGGCGGGTCCCACCTCGGCCGACCGCGGGGTACGGGCCCCGCCTCGCCCGACCGCTGGGGGCGGATTCCGCCTCACCCCAACCTCTGAGTCGGGGACTCCACCTCGCCCAACCCCTCATGTGCGGCTCCCGTCTCACCCGACGGAAGCCTACACCGTCGCCAACCACTCAGGGTCAAAAGGTACGACCCTAAGGTCAAACTTCTGACACTGGGCAGGTAGCAGGCACGCCTCGACGTGATCCCTGGCCACGATAGGCCACTCCCGGGAATTCACATCACCAACAGTGACGGATGCATGGTCACTGTGCTGCCTACTCCCAGTACGGCTGCTGATCGGCGTGTCGGTTCACCGCGTCATCCGCCAGGATGGGATGGGATGCCACGACCAGCTGATGACGCCAAGGCGTGGCACCAGCGGTGGACGGGAGCCCAGCATGGAGCTGTCCCTGTTGACATCTACAAGACCGGTGGACCCGTGTGACCCGGAAGACCTTTGACTTCTCTTCATCTTTCTCCCTGTAAACCTGTACCTCCCCTTGGCCTATAAAAGGGGAGGCAGGACGCCCCATGAAGGGCATGACTCTATATGGCTTTAGACATCTGAACACACACCCTAACACGCCTTAGCGGCACACGCACACACCTGAGACTTGGGACCATTTCCCTCTCTTGCATGTTTGTAACCCCTACTACAAACCTTCAGTGCTAGTAACACGACCAGCAGCGACGAACTGGACGTAGAGACTTTCTGCCCGAACAAGTATAAACCTCGTGTCCTCTAAGCACACCATCTGAGCCAGACGCGCAATCTAGAAACTTACTAGTCGGTGACTCGAAACACCGATACTATGTATTCTAAAAAGTCAAAACGACTTAAGATTTGAAACAACGGGAGTATTCTAATTCGTTAGAATTAGTAGGACATTGTCATATTATTAACAATTTTAACTTTATTATGGATGTCATGATCATAACAAAATAAATTATAGCCATTAAAATTTATGAAAAAGGTAAAATACAAATAGATATATATTTTTGTCCTTATGTTTTATTAATGTCTGATAGTTTTTTCTTCTCCCGTTGCAACGCACTGGCGTATTTGCTAGTTATATTAAAAGCTACAGCTTTGATGTAGACTACATCAATCTGGGATTTGCTATTTTTCAGGCCTGAAAAATAATATCTGTTCACTGTTCAGGCAACAACTTTAAACCATCTGATGGAGATCAAATGGATTTAAATTCACACCAAGAAAAGGCAGACCAAAGGACCACCACGTCGCCTGAAGAAAAGGCAGATTTCAGGCACCTGTTTTTTTAGTAAAAGTGCATCAATAAAAGAGATCGTTAGATGACTTTGGTGTAGACTACGTTAATACTTGGTGATTAGGGGAACAGCAGAAGTCAAGAAGGCGAATCTACAGGTGGTACGGCGAAGCTGGAGAGGACGTGCACAACCTCACGCATGGTGGGCCGTGCCTGGCTGCTCTCACGGACGCACGATATGCCCACCCTGAAGAGGCGAGCGATCAGGCCGGCCGTCTCTGGCGGCAGTCGGGGGTCAGCCACGGCCAGGACTGCCGCCGTGTCCGTGGGTCTCGGCACGACGCCCCGCGCCCAGTGGACGAGGTCGATCTCGTCGCCGAAGTCGCCGAGCGGGCGGCGCCCCGTGACGAGCTCCAGCAGCACCACGCCGAAGCTGTACACGTCCGTCTTCTCGTCCACCCGCAGCGTGTACGCGTACTCTGCACGCACCACTTCGTGCCTGTCACTGTATGGCGATGCAAGTGCTTATATGTCCAGCGCACGACGTTCTTACCAGGAGCGATGTACCCGTACGTGCCGGCGACGACCGACACGTACGGACTCCTCCGCCGCCACCGCCCCTGTGCCGCCAGAGCAGGACGCGCCGCGGCTGAGGAACTTGGCGAGGCCGAAGTCGGCGACGTGCGCCTCCATCGCCGAGTCTAGCAGGATGTTGTTGCACTTGACGTCGCGGTGCAGGATCCTCGGCGAGCACTCGTGGTGCAGGTAGCATAGCGCGCGCGCCGCCTCGGTGGCGACGCGGTGCCTGGCGACCCAGCTCAGGAGGAGCCCGCCGCTGTCGCCGTGCAGGACCGCGCCCAGCGACCCCATCGGCATGTACTCGTACAGGAGCAGGTTGGCCTCCGCGCTGGACGCGAAGCCGAGCAGCCGCACGACGTTGCGGTGCCGGATGCCACCGAGCGTGGTCACCTCGGCCCGGAAGCCGTGGTCGCGGCGGCCGGGGCCGGGCAGGCGCTTGACCGCCACCTCCGCGCCGCCCCGCGTCACGCAGCGGTACACGGTGCCGGCACCTCCTCTGCCAATGGCGTTCTCCTCCCTGAGGCACCCGAGCACGTCGTCCATTTCCAGGTCCATGTTCTCGAACCGTGTCATCTTCCACGCCGTAGGCCGCCGACGATTCGCCGTCTCCCGCTGCGCCCTGCGCGCCCATCTTAGTCCGAGGCACACAGTCACCACCATGGCGCTGGCAGTTGGGACGAGCCACAGCAGCGTCCTCGTCTTGAAACGGCGTGAACGCTGCAGCAATATGGGGCACGAAGCGGCAGTGACGTGCTCCACACAAAGACCAGGGTTGCCTTCAAAATCTATTTTGTTTGAATGAAATGCGAGCAGCCCGTGTTGCGGCAGTGACACACTGCCTGTGAGGTTGTTGTAGGACACATCGAGCATGGTGAGGCTAGGCATACGAAGAATTTCCATCGGAAGATCACCAGAAATGCTATTCCTAGACAAATTCAAACTTTGGAGGATCTTCAAATTTGCCATTTCCTTCGGTATCTCTCCGGTAAACTGGTTGGCACTGAGATCGAGCACGGTTAGCGAGTCACAGTGGCTGAGCTCTCGGGGAATGTCACCGGTGAGTGCGTTGGCACTTAGGCTGAGCCAGGACAGATTCTTGAAATGGCCAATCTCTGGTGGCACAAGGCCGGATAGGTTGTTCGATGCCACCGACAAATAGTTCAAACTCTCACTGGGGTTCATCACCGGGAGCTCACCAGAGAGCAAGTTATTGCTCAATTCCAGCCGGTTGATTCTAGGAAGACCAAAGAGCCCGGCGGGAATAGAACCATTGAGGAAGTTGTGGTTTAGCCCAACCTCGGCAAGCGTCTTGCAGTTGCCGAGGTCTTCAGGGATGGCCCCGGAAATCTGGTTCTCCATCAGAAAGATAGCAAGCACCCGCCTTCCGGCACAGAGGTGGGGCGGTATAGCGCCGGTGAGCTGGCTGTCCCTGACATCCAGGTGCAGCAGCCTGCTGTTCTTGCCCAGGTTTGCCGGGAGCTTCCCGGAAAGGTTGTTCGATCCGATCACGAGGTATTCCAATTCTGCCAACTCCCCAAGAAGCTCCGGAATCACACCTTGGAGATTGTTCTCAGATAAAATTAGCACTTCCAGTTTGGTTAAGCCGGCGAAGCTCGCCGGTATCTGTCCAGTAAGCTTGTTGCTGTAGATGTCCAGGCTCGTGAGGTTTTTGAGGTTGCCGAGTTCGACAGAGATTCCACCGGACAGTTCGTTGCCGCTGAGGTAGAGTGTTTCGAGCTGAGTGAGACTGCCTAGTTCCGGAGGGACAGGACCTGTGAGATTGCAGCTGGACATGTCAAGTTCGACGAGGGCCTCGAGCTCGCCGAACTCCATCGGGATGCCACCGTCGAACGAGTTGTAGTACCCAACATACATCTGCCTGAGTCTCTTGAGCCTTGAGGAGTGAAGGCGGGACACGGCCGGAAAGCGTGTTGACGACTTGCCGTTGAGCCCCAGGTACTCGAGTCCCTCCATGCTCCATGTCACCGTATGCCTCGGGTATGCTGCTGGTGAAGACGTTCCCGCCAAGGTGCAAGTACCGCAGCCTGGCGTGCGACCTGCCGAACGGCGGGAGGGCGCCAGCGAGGTCGTTGTTGTACACGTCGACCACCTCCAAGGAGGGGAAGTACGGCTCTGGCGCAGCGTCGTCCATGGCGTGCCACCGGTCTGGGGGAGACGATAAGGTTCCGGCAAGATTGTTGTTGGAGAGGTTGAGGTGGCGAAGGAGAGGCATTGAGGAAAGCTTGGCGGGGATGAGGCCTGCCAGGGAGCAGTCGGCGACGGTGAGGCTGGTGAGAGCATCCAGCAGCGAGATCTCGGTTGGGAGCACGCCGCCGTTGAGAGGGACGCCGGTGAGGTTGATGGCGACGACGCGGTTGTTGGAGGCATCGCAGGTGATCCCGGAGAAGTTGCAATAATTGGTCGTCCGAGATGATACGCCGCCAGACGCCGACGTCTCGATGTCCCAGTCGGTGAGCAAGGGACTGTTGCGGGCGCTGCGGGAGAGTAGGGAGGACTTGAGCTTCGAGAGAGAGTACAAGTCGCTCTCCGGCGAGGTCCTCGCAGAGGCAGAGACGGCCGTCACGACGAGGAGTGGTAGGAGGAGGCGTCCTAGGCGTAGGCACGGATGGATGTTGTGTGGCAGCGGTGCCATTGCGTGCATGAAGGTTAGGGAACTGAGGGCTGGTTGAGAGTTTGAGACTCGAGTGCATCAATCATGTACTCTACATAATTACTCCTCGTCAACGATGAGTGCATCAATCTTTTTATAGCTTAGCTTAGCTTTGTATAAATTCGTTTGCACCAACAAGCCTTGTGGTCTGAGTGGTCGTCTTATTAAACTCCTCACTCACTTCCATATTGTTTGTCTTCCGGTCTACCGGAGAACACAACTTTTGGATCAGTGGCCAAGTTAGATCCGTCCGGAGAACCTGTGGAGCCATCCCCTTCATGGTACCTCGACCTTGAGGGAATCGGCAGGGTAATCCATCTGCGTATATCCATAGCTGGTTCAATTACTTTGTTATATATAGAACAATCTTATAGACTGAGTATTTGATCAATATGTGCAGGAGCAAGCTCCCACCGAGAGTAACACAACCACATCAGATAGGCCTCCTAGGCGCCAGGCTAGGCGAGGGTGGAGCAAGTTGCGCACCTATAAACAGTTTATCAACGAGTTAGATCCGGTCGGAGAACCCGTGGTGCCATTTGGTGTCATGGGGCCTTACAAGACGGCCATCGGGGTGTTAGTGAAGGACAACATACCCATCAAATACAGGTACTAGAAACAACCGGGCAGCGAATGGGTGGTTCCATCCAGTCTGAAGAATCTTTGCTGGGAAAAGCTAAAGGACCTGTTTGTTTTTTCCTGATGGGTTTGATGAAGAGGTGGTAAAGGATCGGGTGTTCTTTATCATGGGCAGCTCACTCAAGTATTTTAGGTACTACCTGAACTCCTAATATGTAAGGAAGGGCATCGAGCCAGAATGGAGTGAATACCCACATCAGCAAGAGTATTGGAGTGTTTTTGTGAGTGGGATGAATCAGATACGCATGCATCCTCATCTATGATCTCTCCTCCGGCTCAGAGGTTGGCCCCTGAAGCCCTTCAGTCAATTGACAACCTAGCGACCTACTTAGACTATGCAACAAAGCTTGTCTTAACTATGTTTCACCTTTTTCCTTATGTTGCAGATAGTAGTGTCATCTTTGGTGGAGCTGACCATTTTGGAGATATCTAGGCTGCAAGAAGATCTTGGCGGTTTCATTATGAAGACCATCACCTTAATCAAGGTGCTACGGTTCCTGACCTTGGAATGTCGGTTTCATTTTGGACGTCTATTTGTGTTCTGAAAACTATATATTCGTTGTGGTTGGATTTGGGCATTATATCGCTGTGATTTAAAACTATGTATGTTGCTATCGTTTTGTATGGATATTTGTCTCAGTGGTGTTCTGAAAATATATATATGTTGCTGGCGATGCGTAAGCCATGAAATTTCTATATTATTGTTGGTGTTATATTGTATTGTGAACAATAATGATACACAGTGGTAACGTCGGCGGTAATAGACAAAACATTACTGCCGGAACAAACACAATGGTGGCGGCGATGCTGCCCCTCATTACCACCGGAGGGAGCAACGACCGCGTGCGCTGGCACCTACATTACCACCGGATGGTACTCCGGACCGGCATTGATATTCTCGTCATCATGGCCGAATGGTACGACGGACCAGCGTTGATGTTCTCGTCATCACAACCGGATGGTACACCAGTCTGGCGTCGATAGGTCTATCATCATCACTGGTTGGTACGCTGACCCGGCGATGATAGGTACATCGTCACCGCCGGATGGTACGCTGGGTCAGCATCGTCACCATCAGATGGTACGTCGGGCCAACGTCAATGGTTACATCATCACCGCTGGATGGTACACCGGACCGGCGTCGATGGACGCATCATCACCGCCGGACGGTACGCCAAGCCGGCGTCTATGGATGCATCATCACCGCCGAACGGTACGTCGGGCCGGCGTCGATGGACACATCATCACCGCCGGATGGTACGCCGGACTGGCGTCGAATGGCGCATTATCACTGTCGGATGATACACCGATCCGACGGTGTTGATATACCATCACCGCTGTATGGTATGCCTGACCGACGGTGGTAAAATACCATCACCGCGGGCGCATAGCCGGCGGAAATAAAGGTCGCCGATCACTGCCGACATACACCAACGGGGGCTAAAACCGTCGGTAATGGGGGTTCTGGAGCCGACGGTGTTTAGCTTTTTGTAGTAGTGACCTACAAGGACAGGACCTATGTGAAGTTATTGCTGGTGCCAAAATAGTGCCTCCACCAAAGGAAAGTGATGGTGCCTTGCGGAAATGGCGTATCAAAGCCGACAAGGCTATGTTTGTGCTGAAGATAACTATTGAAGAGGAGCCACCACTTATTTCGAGTGAAGACATAGAAGGTTCATCAAACCAAGATAATAGCCCTTGGAAGACTGGTTTGCATCAGAAAACCTCAGAGGATCCTCGACCACAGAAATAGAGATTGATGAGCCTATTAAGAAATACGGAGGTCGTACAACAAGGAAAGTCAAGCCTAATCCAAAGTATGCAAATATTGCCCTTGTTGATGAGTCTTACCTATCGAACCATTGTCTTATGAAGGAGCGGCATAAGACCCTGAGTGATGTAAAGCAATGGTGGAAGAGATTAAGGCACTAAACAAAAATCAAACATGGTATTTAGTGCCAAGGCCAAAAGAAGTAAAGCACATATCCTGCAAATGGGTTTACAAGATAAAGACACAACCAAATTGCTCAATTGAGAGGTATAATGCTCGACTAGTGGCTTGGGGATTTTCTCAACAATATAGGCTTATGAAGAAACATTTAGCACAGTGGCAAAGATCACAAATGTTTGGGTCTTGCATGCAATGGCCACATGCAAGTCTTGGAAGTCATGGCAGATGGATGTCAAGAACGCCTTCCTACATGATGAACTTGACAAAGACATCTACATGGAGCAACCAAGAGGCTTTGAGAGCAAAATTCACCCCGAGTATGTTTGCAAATTGAAAAAGGCTCTCTATGGCTTAAAGCTAGCTCCACGAGCTTGGTATGGAAAGATTGGTGGGTTTCTCATACAAAGTGGTTTTAAGGTCGCTCCATCAGATTCTAGCTTATTTGTGAAGACCAAGGAAGGGAGACTTGTAGTAGTCCTAGTCTATGTTGATGACTTGATCATCATGGGAGACTACTCTAATGAGATACAAAGGACAAGAGAAAATCTCTCCGTCTGATTTCAAATGAAAGAGCTTGGAGAGCTGAAGCACTTCCTTGGATTGGAGGTGAAGCATACAAAGGAAGGGCTATTTCTGGGACAACAGAAATATGCCAAGGATATTTTATAGAGGTATGGGCTACTACTTGACTGCAAACCTATCTCCACACCTGTGAATTCAAATATGAGGCTATAAGAGGACGAAGGAAAAGACTTGGATGATGTCCTTATGTATCAGCAACTTGTTGGAGTATCATATATCTCACATTGACTCGGCCAGATATAGCCTACTCAGTTGGAGTCGTCAGTCGATACATGAGCAATCCAAAGAAGCCTCATCTTGATGCAGACAAGCAGATGCTAAGGTATGTCAAGGACACCATCAACTTTGGTATCCTATTTATAAAGACAGGGACTATCAGATGAATGGATATTGTGATGCTGATTATGCTGGAGACAATGGCACACAACGATCGACCACAGGATACTTCTTTAGTCTTGCTAGGATCAGATGCTATATCATTGTGTAGCAAGAAACAACCTACCATGGCACTATCCAGTACTGAAGTGGAGTATCAGTCAGTGGCAATGGTAGCACAAGGGAGTACTTGGCTCAAGCAATTAATGGAAGACCTTCATCAACCAACAGATTATCAAGTAAGGATTTTCCGTGACAACTTATTGATGGGTTGAAGATTACATTGCAAACTCCTAGAAGCTTCTACATATCTCTTGATGATTGATAGTTGGCATGAAGCTACAAGATATATATTATCACTATGGAAAATTAGAATAATGTAGAACATAGATATTTATCTTGGAACTATCTAGGGGGGACACATGTCATCCTCCTATGAGCCCCCATAGCCTATAAATTGCACACCTCCTTGCCGTGATATACCATCCAAGAGCATGATAGATGTGAGAAGGGTGATAGGTGCTAGGATAGCCATTTAAAGGTGTGTGTGGTCTTATGTAACTCTTTGGCATAGTAATAAAAAGATTTTAATTAATGTAGTATTATTAACCATACAACTAGTGATGCTACAACTTAAAAAGGATTGACTTAGGAAAAAAACTTAATAGACATATTTGGGACAGCAAGTAGTTGATATAGAAGAAAAAGAATATAAGTGCTATACCAACCTGAACTTTGGCATGCTTCATATAGATTGAATAATAAATATAACTCGCCGGGGTATCGGTGTACTGATGATTTACCCTAATGATTCCAGCCGCACTCACCATGTGAAAGTAGTAGTATATACGGTCCATTTTAGGTACACCATTCAAATGGTGTTCTTCCTAGTACTTGTAATCTCCTAAGCTTGTAGTTCTACTGAATCAAGTCTAGGTAATATGTTTGCTAGAACCATTATCTGCTTGATCCTATCCTCAAAGGGTTGAAGGCAGGGATGGTTGGTGACAAATCCAACTACAACCTCCGTATTTAAGAATTGCCGAGCAGGACAAGTGGCAGATATTTCAGATGTTGAGAAAAATACATAGGATAGCCATCAAGGTGTACCCTCCAAAACGGCATAGCAACAATTGCTGGGTATGCCCAACTTTTTACATGTTGATTGGATTAGCGAGCCCATAGTCATCTTAGCAGTATCCATTTGCACTAACATTAAAACACCATTCCATGTCTTGATACAAAATTGAAACTGCAATGAAAAAGTGCCTTGTGTTAAATCCCTAACATATTAAGATGACATGGTTAGATGCCTCGGGGATAGGGTTTGGGTTTGGCCATCTCAGGGAGCTGGTTTCAAACACTTGTTCCCATAAATTGGGCCACGCCTGTAGCTGCAGCCCTAGGTCCATATCCGCCTCTAGCTAGGAGCTAC